GCATATAACGTGTGCTCGTACTTATTCTAACGTTGCTATCTCAACCAGTATCGATCTCGATTCAGATTCGATAAATAACAATTTGTATCGCGTGCAGAGAGCGCAGAGAGAGATGAACGTTAACATAGTCGGGGAATATAACGACCGATCGATTTGCGAAGTTGCCTTCGCGCCTGAAGCTCGAAGAGGCGAAGGCGAAGAGGCGCATCTCGTTTTCACTTCATACAATAAAACGAGAATAAAAAGATCACGCGCGATCCGCTGCATGCGTTTAATTAATTACGGCAAAGTAGGAGGGACATGCAGGAGAGAGAGAGGGAGTGGGGAGAGATATGAGGATCTCTCTCGGTTTTCCATAACGATAAAATACTGTACATAGCGAACGGAGCCACGCTTATAACGAGCGTCTCAATGAAGCGGTTTGGTCCACCTTGGGATAAATTCATTTCGCCGACAGAAGCGCCGAGATGGCCCCTATCATCCCGTATATTTTTTCCGAGGGTTAAACACGCGTCGTGCTGTTCGTTACTGCTGTGCGGAACGGCGTCGCGAGGCTAAACCCGACGATTCGCGGCGAGAGAGCCGAGGACTCCGCGGGTCCGGTGCGCCGGCAACAAAAATGCGAATCAGGTTTCTCGCGGTCCCATTAATCTCGTAGATTCTCGGTCGCCGTTCTGCTCGTCGATGAACTCGAGTGGCTGCTCTCTTATAGGCGAGCGAATGCGCTCGAGGCGATTTCTACGCGGGACGCATTTCGCGTCGATTCCCCCGAGTTCGATTGCGAGATCGAGAGTTATTTGAATATTCATTTAAATGTTTATGCATCCGCTGTTCCAACCTTTTTTCACTGACATTTCACCGATTTTTTGCAGTTCTTTTTCAATAAGTTCGTAATTTTCTTCAAGATATCACGATTCGGACTAGTTATGTAGATTAGATCTCTGAATCATTGACATCCGCAGTAATAATATTATTTACATTATTGATATGATCTTACTGAAGTGCAGTTCGGCTAATGCGAAATATCGATTACAAACGCGTTGTTATTACGACGAGCCGTTACGCGATAGCGTATATGCGTACACGCAACCGGAACCGTTGAAACGCGTGTGCGTGCGTGCGATCGGAAACGTGCGCGATACACGTGCTCGATTATTCGAGTGGGCGAGCCCAGAAAATATAAAATACGCGACGTTACTCATCGACTGTTATAAATTCGTCTCGCTATATTAGGTGCCAGGTCGACGTAGAAAGAGAGACAGAGAGAGAGAGAGAGAGGACGTTTGTGCGGGGGAAGAGGGAAAGAAGATCGGCAGGATCAAGAAAGAGAAGAAAGAGATAGGAAGAAAGAGGCAACTTTTAGAGCGGAAGGGAGCGCGGCTACGCGGAGACGCGATTATTAATCGGCACGATCAATTAAATCGCAATGGGATACGAGCGATTGCGTGCGCAGGATCAATAATATCGCGGACGGGCGTACAAGGCGCAAGGGTATTCTTTAATGCGAGGATAGGTGTATCGATTATTGCGATCTCGTTTATCCGGATGTTCCTTTTTTTTCTGCATCGGGCTCAGCCGCTCGCGCAACAGCTCCGACGATATCACGTATTGCGGGCGAGAATTGCGCCGTTGCGCTATTAAGACTCGTTCCATCGAGATGTACACTCGCGCGAGAATAAAGTTATTAGCGTTACTCTCGCGACGCGCCAATTTCCGCGGAAAATACGTTCGCCAGTCACACACGTGGCTAGATTGCTTACATTAATCGAAGTTGCGACTCGGACTAGATCCGGATCTCCGGTAGTCGCGTCGCAATTCCCCGCGGAGAATGCACATCGATCGACCGGGGAGGACGAAAGAGGAAGAAGCAGAGGTTGAGGAACGCAGAAGCAGAAAAGAACGTGGCACGGTCGTCGTCGGACCGGTCCGCGGATCGTACTCTATTGAAACGGGCCACGCGAGAGAAACGTCGACGGCAGACGTTCGAAAGTGAGGAGGGGTTCTAGCCAAGCAGGAGACTATAGAAGGCGCACAGCACGAGGAGAGCGGACAGCTATCTTAATCGACGACCTTTCTCTTAACCCGCTGCGGAGAGTCCCGCCGGTGGCGTTGCACCGCGCTCTCGCTCTCGGAGAGCCGGAGTTCCTTCCGCGAGAGAGGGAGAAGGAGTTTGCTGCTCGCGGAGGAGGCCCGTTTGCGGAAGACGAAGAGATAGGAGTCCCGAACCGTGGCCGGCTGGAGTTTCTCTGCGGGGAGATGCGGGAGAGTCTCCTTGCGGAACGCGGAATCCAACGCGCTGTTGGCACGTTGGGACCGGGCAGCCAGTTGGGACACGAGAAGATCGATCTGCGCGTGGGCGGTTGCCGAATAATAATAAACTGGTCCCTCTCTCGAGAGTCGAGGACCTCGGGCTATCCGTCTCTGTCTCTTCCTGTTTCGCCCTGATGCCGCGCCCTTGACGGAGCGATCTTCATGTTCTCCGCGTTTTACCTTAATAAGAGGAGGTCCCGTTGTCGCAATAATAAATAGCTGAGAGAGATTAGCAATTCTACTTACATGTTTAATTAATATTAATTGTTGCAAATATTAGCTGATAATTCGAATTTTTTTACATGCTGAATATGAATAAGGTCCGCTAACGGATTCGGCTTTCGCGCTTTCAAGGGACAAGACATATCCGTCTGCGATCTCGGTGCGTGTGCGGCCGCGTTCGTATCTGAATTTCTGCGAGCCGCCGAGACCGGTGACAACGAGACAAACGGACGCCATTAACCGAATGCCGAATTCGCGAAAAATAAACCTCGCGCTCTTCCCCCATCGTTCCCCCCCTCGTGACGATTCTCCCTTCGCGCGGACACGGGGGCTGGGGCGAAGGGCGATAACGAATGGCGGGACGTACGTCGCGGCGATAGCTTGACAAATATATATTAAACTATTTTAATGAGAAGTGGCCGCCATATCTCATCGCAATTACCGGCCAGCGACCCGCCGGGGGCCCCGTTCGACTCGCCTTACAGCTTGCTGGTCCGCAGCGAAAACACGCACCCCGAGAGAGCAAAGGTTAAGAGGAGGTCCATACTGGTTCCTCTAGAAACGGGCGGTCGTTGTGGCGTATCGATTTGAGATACTTACTTCGAAGGAAAAGCACTATGAGAATCAGCGAAGATCATTTTTAATTCATTTTCTAAATTTTATCGATAAATTTATTAATTAATAGTGGTTGATAATATTATAAATTTCCTCTCCTTTTTTCTCTTTTTTTTAATTTTTCAATTTTATTGAACCATTTAAATTTTTATTTTCGTTTTGTTCACTATATATATACGTATATAGTAGACGTCTATCTCTATCGTCGAACGTCACGTTTGATCGAAACGATGATAAACGCGAGATGAAAGATTCTGTCCCCTTTGGCAGGATCAAATAGTCATCTACAAGATTCTCGCGTTCGCGCGATTATCGTTCGATGGAGAACCGGTCGTTTCACACGCGCGCGGGTGCGTCTATCGGCCGAACGTACGTCTGTCGACAAGTCTGTCGGGGTCTCGATATTCGCCGCTATTCTCATAGAAAATCAACCTCGACGTGGCCGTCGCACCTCGTCGTGCGGCGAACACAAGAGAAAAAAATGGCAAGGAGGCCGAGGTAGACGGCAGGACGCGGTGAAGAAGCGAGAAAAGTGGCAAGAGACGAACGGAGTGTTGGAGGAGGACCGAGGAAGAAGGCGAAGAAGAAGAAGAAGAAGAAGGGAGACACATTGCCTCTCACTGCCGACTCTTCAGGCAACAGTGAGTGACGGTTCTATAGAGTTCGTCGGGTTGGTAGCTTTGTGCGAGCTTTCCCCCTTCGATCCTCTCCCCCTTTCGCGGTTACTTTTACCGCGCCACTCTTGCGAGCTCGTATGTAAAGCATCGTGGCCGCGGTCCCGGCCACGACGTTTAGTACCGTACGTCGTGTACATCGGCTTTAACCTCACTGTAAAACGGACCCCGGTATTCACACTCTCTCGAGCATGATCATCTTCTTACCTATGTGTATGCTTTGACCTCGTTTCCCATTCCGGAAAGTGGATACAACGGAGATTACGAATATATAATTAAGTAAAGACTTTCATATTAACATTATATTCGATCAACTGGAATTTAGAAAACTCATTCCAAGCATTATATACACATATAATTATGAATCTTATTGAATCAACATCGTGATTATATAAATAATAATAAATAATAATTAGAAACTATGCTGAAGTTATAACAAGTCCCAAAACTTATTTTGCAGCTTCTTTGCTTCATTTGTGACGATTGAGAGTTACGTTTTAGAATTTACGTTGGTTTTTTTTTTCAATTTTTCGTTTCCTTCTCGGACTTTTCTTGTTTATAGTTGCACGCGTCTCGCGATTTTTCACCTCCCACATCCCATGTGCTCAAACGTGCAAAAATTTCGTATACGCGTTCAACAGAAAGGATGAGGAGCCGAGAAGAAGCGGAGAAGAGCGTGGACGCGTGCGGCGAGGGCGAGGCGGCAAACACGCGTATATTTATTTATGCAAACGGAATACGCGGAGCCGACTAATTGTGCGGCCGACACACTCGCAGTGACTCACGTGACGGGCTACCCGGGCGTCCACCCCACGTGTCAATCGCGTGACAAAAGTACCCCTATCCACCCACGAAACTTCCGGCTCGGAGCGCATCTCCGACACCGCCGTACATAGATACAGCACGGGTCTGCATCGCATGCATCGCACGCACAATTAGGGCCTCTTATGTGCAAATGGCAGAGAGTTTTAAGCACGTACGCGCTTGCATACTTGCGTGCGCGGAATGACGCGACGCGGACGGGACACCGTCGTCTCGTGAAATTACAACGCGCGTCTCCTTGCCGGAATAATAATCTCGGGTGAGATGATATTCATGCTGATCGGACAAGATTCGTAGCCATCTGAATACGCGGTTTCGCGTAAGCGAAAGTACAGATTCCCAAAATCTCTCTTCAAAATGTGCAAACACGTTCGCGATGTTCGTGATAACGTCAAGGACAACGGACGGAGGAAGCCGAAAGAGGGATGGGAATTCCAACAACAGGATGGAAGAGTAGAGGATTCTCGCGGCAGTGCACCGGTAACGACTGTGTGTCAGTCCGTCAGCGAGGTAGCGAGCCGCGAATACCGAGGATGGCTTTCCTGCTCACTCGACGAACAGCTCTATTTGTCGAGCTCGTATACAAAAAGCAGAGGGGCCGCGCCGTCGCACGTACAACGGAAAGCATGAGCGACGAGTGACGGGCTGGGAGAACCGGGATACGAGAGAAAAACCTTCGGGTATCACTTGGGATGGTATACACGAAAGGGTGGCGCGAAGGTTCGAAAACGCGAGTCAGGAAACATCTGTCGCCATCAGGATCGCGATCCCGATTGAAAAAAAAACAACCGTCGGTGACCTCGATAGCCCGATTTTGCGGACGTATTCGCGAAAGTCTGGTTCATTACGAGTAATTGCAGAGGCGAGACGAATCGGTTGACGCACGTAAGTAGGCCGTAGAGGTGTGTCGCGCGCGAGATTAATTTACTCGATGATCTTATGTGCTCGATGATTTTCTAATTCTCCACGGTGGGAGCGTGAAGGCCGGCCACACGAAGGGCGACGCGGCGCGCGCAGCGGGAATATTATTCGACGCGATGAAATTCCTTCGTCCGGGGGACTATTTCGGGGCGTCGAGGACGCGTATACGCTCGAGGAAACCGTTCCAGTTCGCCCGCGAGTTTTGCGAGTCACCGTGATTGCGATTACAGTGGAGCGCGCTGCACGACCAGGGGATACCGCGCGGCCGCCCCTGCCGCGGATGATTTAGTGACCCAACGATGTGAAGGATAATCGTATGAAATATCGCCGCGTCGTAAGCCGGACCCCGCGCGAATATCGCGCGGCATAGGTGAAGGTACCACGCGGTGTAAATGCCGCGAACGGGGCGGACGCGGGAGCATCGTTGACCCCGGGGAATGCGAGAGCCGCTCGGTTAAGCTTAATGCACGGGAATTTCATACAATATTAAGGAATATTTTTTTTTCCTACGGAAGGAAATGCTGCGCGAGAGTACGATGCCATTAGCTCCGTGAATCGCTTGCATTAATCAAGGCGCCCGTAGCCGATCGCGCAGAACAGAGAGCGTTCCTGCCAAGCGCGGCGCCGGAAAATACTGACGCGCGCAGAATGCCGAAAGATCGTCTGACTAATGTTCCGCCGGAGGTCCATTACGGTCCAACAGACCTCGCTTCTATCGTGCCATAGAGGCGTAGCGCGTTCAATAACGACCGCGGCGGCTTGTGGATCGTTTCGAAACGATTAAGCGCAGTCTTATCTTCTTGAGACTTTGCGTTTGATTGACGCGGTTGTGGATTTCTCGTGGAACTCGTCATATTTGCGAACGCGATATGTTGATTGAAAATGCATTTAAATTCTAGTGCAACCTTGAAACCTAGGAAAAAGTCACAAATAGGTACGTACGGACTGGACGCGGCTCTCACAATCGCGCGGCGGTAATTTATCTCGTGCCTCCGTTAATGAATCGTTCTGCGGGTCCGCAAAGTTACGGGCAAACGAACGGGAACGATTAGATATCGAGCGCGCGGTCGGCGAGAGAAAAGACCGAAATGAATCGCGCTTAGGCACACAATACGATCGCGGACGTCGGCGAACCGGTCCGGCAATTACTTGGAAGATCGATTATCGCCCGTTAATAGACTCTTCGCGGGCATCGCGCGATGCATCGCGACGGGAACTTCATAACTTCCTATAATAATATTGCCACGCGCACGCGAAACGCTCATGGCGCATCCAGAGAATTTGCATATTTCGAAACGTATAGGCAAGATTTACATGAGTCTTTTCCCAAAGATTTTCAGCGATAAAAAGTTTAGCTCAAGAAGGTTTTGTGGTGCACAAGATAAAAAGAATCGAAAGATCGACGAAAAATTACTCCATCGCACCTTGCTTTGACGGATAAATATGCTTGCATCATTGAGAGTTTGATTAATTTCTGCAATTGCTTTACGCAGAGATATTTTAAGGTATCATCTGTAAGCATTCGATAAAAAATTCAATACTTTTGGCGATTCTTTCTTCGGTGGTTGTTACTCGAGAAATTTACAGATCGTCCTCCGTGATCGCAGGAGCGTTGCGTCGTCATTGCGCCGCTCGAAAACCCGCATACCAGATGCATCGCGTCGAGTCATCTGCGATTTACAGCGATAACTTTTGCAGCCGGACAATTTGTACTTGTTGCGCCAGGATGGCGACTGCGACTGCGGCGACGGCGGCGGCGGCGGCGGCGGCGGCGACCACTTCAGACGCCGGTGACTGTAGGTGACTGGTGCCGCGTCGCTGACGCGTATTGGTCCCGACGATCGGATGCGACACTCGAAGTGACGGTGGTGCGAGTAACTTGGCGCCACGTCGAAGATGGCAACGATAAAATCAAGCGCGCGGAAGACGTATACTCACAATCAGACGATGCGATTTCGAAGCAAAAAATTCGATGGAAATATAAAAGATATCGTAAAAAGAGTATGATTTCTAACGCGTTCTAAGAAGAGAGTTATCCTCTAAAGGAGAGATTTATCGTTCGAATCCGTTATAGCGTAATGTATCCTTCGACGGATAAAAATTGAGACGAAGTACCGGCTTGATTACGATCATCGGTATGCTCCTGAGAGCCAACGCCGACACCTGCTACTACGCGGCTGTAACAATTAAGTAAATAAATTCGCTACTTTGATCTGGACGCGGTCTAAGGAGCCGATGGGGAGAGAGGAGAGGACGGGGGAGAAAGCGAAGAACCATGGAGGGGTACTACAAGGGGGAAGATTCGCGCGCCATCCTTAAAGGCAGAGGCGCGAGCATGCTGAGAGCCTTCCGAGGCACCGTATTTTATAACCGGTGTAGACAGCCACCGCTCGTGTATGCAGGCGATTCTCTGCTCGGCCTTTTCTCTCTCTCTCTCTCTCTCTCTCTCTCTCTCTCTCTCTCCCTATACTGCGTAGCCACGTAGCAAGAATGAGACTCGCGTCTGTTTCTCCTCGCGGTCTTCTGGCGAACGTACGCGGGACCCCACTGGCAACGGGCGCGATACCTCCGACCACCACGGCGATGGGGATGATTTCCGATCGTCTTTTACCTCCTACCTCTCTCTCTCTCTCTCCTTTTCTGTCTCTTCGGGGACGATGGGTGGCGGAAAGGAAGGAACGCTGCAGAGAGGGCTTTGACGGGTAAGACACGCGGGGTGGAGGACGATGGGGATCTCTCCCCACTGTTACGTTGTATGCGCACTTTAATACGATTATCTGATCGCGGACGGACATTCAGATTATTTATATTACACGCTTGTACTTGCGGCAGCCGGAAGATTTAAAGCCACTTTAAGCGATTGTAAAATGCGTTACATACGACGTACGGAAGGGAGCGATTCCGCTTAGCTTTGTTGAATATTGGAAGCGATGTTGCGTATTGTAAGTGATACGATACGTAGTGAGTTAAATCTTGATTTATAGCTGGTTTTGCCGATTATCTTTAACCACCGCGTAACTTTGCCCGTTTGATCCTTTATCTTACTAGATTTCACAAAGTTAGGGTGAAGAAATCAATTAAATTGAACGTGAAAAAATTTGCCGTACGATGTAAAACGTCTGTTATGTAACGCATCCGAGCGTGACGAGCAAAAGCATTATTTTCGATCACCTGCTTGGGAACCTAGGAGGATTTCCTCTCGAAGCGAACAAAGCGTTTACGATCTCGTGGCTTCGGTGCCGGTCTGTCTTACCGAGAGGGGAATTCGCATCGGATTGTATTCCGCATATACACCGATTGAAATCGATATTCCTCGCAAGGTCGGGCCGCAACAAAACGAGCGGAACAATGCATCACGCGGCATACTACTCTCGCCGGGCATCGGAATAGTGCAGGTAAAACTGCTCGCGATTTAATACACTCCACGAGTGTTCTATGTACGCGCGTACCTATATTGTTGTTCCTCGCTGAGTTTCCTTCCCCCGAATAAAGAATGAGATCTTTTTCAAAATACATTCGCGTGTGAGAATAGTATGAGAAATATGAGGTCAGTTCGCAATTAAGAATGCCGGATCCAATAAACCTCATCATTTCTATCATTCGTAAATAACAATAAGACATATCAACAATAAGGCATAACACAATAATCTCCTCAATAAATCGAAATTCGGCAAGATTTTCGATGGAAATGAAAGAAGTGCAAAGAAAGAAAGAGAGAGAGAGAGAGATAATTACAAAGTGAGGATGAGAATAATGCTAAAGATTAATTAAGAGAAAGACAAGATTATTGCGAGGGGTGGCTTAAGAATTGCAGTCGTACGTAGGTATTATTGCGTGAAAAAAGTGAATCCCGAATCGACTGTCCAGATCGGCATCGGTATTGCTTGGCAGTAATTCATTAGCATGATTATCTGGGTGTATCAGGAGTGTGGGTTCTTCTGTCTTTTTCTTTTTCTTCCCAAAAGAAGGGAGAAGTGGAGATGTTGAGGGAACCTATAGATCTCCCTGCCGCTCGAGAGGAGGTTTCGCGCATGGTCCAACAAATTTCCCTCCATCCGAGCTCGATCCTTTTGTCTTCGCCTTGCTTCCTTCCCTCCCGAGGAGCGGCGACGCGCTCAGCACGCCGCTGCACGAGCCACGAAGAGGCTCATCGCCGCTTCGAGGTGGCAACAGTGTTGGCGGGAAAGTTATTCGACCGCTTGCCACTAAATCATTCCCCGCGGACTCCTGCTTTATTATCCTCCGTCCTGCCTCCACCTATGCTGGGCCCCATAGCGCTCTGGTTCGTCTCTTTCCTTCTCTCCTCTCTCTCTCTCTCTCTCTCTCTCTCTCTCTCTCTCTCTCTCTCTCTCTCTTTCTCTCTCGTTTCCTTCTCGCTTTCCGCACCTCCTCCGGTCTCATCCTTTCATAGTCCTTCTGTTAGTACGTCGGATAGATGCGTCACTCGTGTCCTGGAAAAATCACGATGGACGCGCGCGCAGGGGATGTTGTTGCAAATTAGGGTTCTATCATGGTAATTCTCACACGCACATTCTCGGGACAGCGGGTTTAAATCGACTGCGAGGCGCTTTGAGGATATTAATAACGCCAGTTTATTAACGCACGGCGCGTATTATGGGACGAGTCGTAATATTTTATAGTACTCACATGTGTTCCCCTATCGCCATATTCCCTTCCTCCTTCCCCCTCACGCACGCTATCGACTATAAATACCGATAAAATACACGTGTTATACACCGGCTAATATAACGCACGGCGAGCGCACTTTAATATAACATAATGCGTTCGCGCTATAATTTCGTTGCCACTCATTATACCCCGTTCGTTTATGACGCTTATCAGATCGGGCGGAGTAATGACAAATGCCGGACGAATATACGCGCCGATTTATCGGCTTTCAGAAGCCTTACTCTAGTCTGCCCTATGCGATCCGTTGGCGATCCGCCTACGTAGAAAGGAATATTTTCTCCGCGCGCGAACCGCCCCGATCTCCTTAATTGTAGCTCAAGATTGCAATCTTGTTCTTTCGACGCGCCCTCCCTACGATTCTCACGATTCTCGCACATTGTTTCCGAGTCGGAATATTATTGCCTTGGCAGATAGCAAATTTAATTTCTTCCCGCGCGTTTCTTCTTACCTCATTCACCGAACCGTCATCAGACTTGCAATTAATTGTAAGAAAAAAAAAGAACATTGCGGAGAGAAAAACTCTGTAAGGAAAGGACGCGTTTACCGACGTGTTCCGGTCGTATTATTAATAGCGTATGATTAGAGAGATTTCACGTGCGGTTTATTTTGTTTTCAACACATACCCAGCACGAATAATCGCTTAATTTACTATGAAATGCTGAACGTTTCTCTAAGCGAGCGCGAGATAAACGCGAGCAATTAATTCGCGTTAATCACCGTCCTCGTTATAGTTTCGCGAGCGTGATCCGGTCGCCTTTATCGCGACAAATCGGCTGGTGCGCGTCGTAACGAAGTGATCGATCATCGGCTCGCGATCGTGATCGCGTACCCGCCGATTCCACATTCCCGTTCAACATGGGCGGATACGATTCCCTCCCGGAGTACTCGGATCACGGCTAGATGGCCGGCGCGATACCTCGAACGCGCGAAGAAACTTTAAACTGTCATTAAGGCAACACTCTGCCTGGGTTAAGGGGTTCATTACCGGTCGGGATTCGCGTTCTCAGTTTCTTCTGCGTCGTGGTCCCGCCGAGTGGCCCACGAGACGACTACTATACTATATGCTCCGCAAATTACGTCTCGTGCCGGTATAAATTTACGAGTTCCTTTTCTCTTTATCGCCCTCCCCCTGTCTCGATTTCCTCCTCGTCGACTTAATCCACGTTCGGCCGATTGCCGTGGCGGCAATTACCCGATCGCCTCGATCGATCGTAATCTGTCGATCGGACGGCATTATCGGTATTCGCTGCGCGCAAAAATTGGAAATCGCCTCGGTGTCGACCGGACGACTTACAGTTACGCGTTGTACTTGAGACGTATGATAAATCGAGCGATATCGCGTCGCCCGAAGGGGAGTGCCATTTAAACTGCAATTCAGAAGTCTTATTGTTCGAGTATCCACGTTGAGGCGAGAACCTATTCATCAATGTATCTATTACAAGTCAAACATCCAACATAACATTTTAATGTACGCGCATAAAATGAGAGAAAAAAAATAACTCGTATAAAAATATGTGTGAATAATTCAAGAAGTCTTATTGTTCGAGTATCCACGTTGAGGCGAGAACCTATTCATCAACGTATCTATTACAAGTCATATATAACCCGATATAACATTTAATGTATACGCATAAAATGAGAGTAAAAGAATAATTCGTATAAGAATATGTATAAATAATTCAAGCCTTATCAGTTTCTTTCGTCGTCGTTTCTCTCACAAAAACCAAGATGAGATGAAGATTTTCGAAATAAAGAACACTCCGACTGAGGTGTATTCTCTGAAAGAACAATCTGCCAACGATGTGCTCGCGAGGCGGGGAAAAAAATGGGGAGGCATTTTCGTTAACGACCGTACGGGAATCTCGTAACTTGTATTACATCGTGGGGTGGGGTAGGTGGCGATGAATCGTCGCATAAATCACATACGCTGGAAGCACAGAGGCGTCCATCACCGCCCCCACGTCTGTCCGTTCGTTCGTTCGTTCGTTCGTTCGTTCGTCTGTCCGTCCGTTCGTCCGTTCGTCCCGGTAACGTCTTCGGGTCCTCCTCCGGGAGGGCAGGAAAAGGTAGGCTCGCTCGCAAATTAGTCACTGGGGCCCAGATTACGAATGGACCACCTCCCCGGCGATCCGCTAGTATCCCGTTTCAGGAACGTCGGGCGGAATTAAACAAAGTGCTTCGCCCGGGTAGATTCCGTCTTCGGGGAGGCGCGACGACGTCGCGCTCTTCGTCATCCGCGTGTCGTTTTGCTGCCGCGAAAAAAAAAAGATTCGCGGAACGAACAAATGGGATCGATAAATTTCCACGGGGAGTCATTCATCGCGGAAACAATCTTCGGGGAAGACTACAGACGAGCTTTTTCATCACACACTCGATTTTGCATTTTTTTTTATGAGGTGGTTATTTATTAACGTTAAATTATTTTCTTCAAATCTCTTCGTGTCCTCGCAATCTATCTTTTCGACGATTTTACAAAGTGCATGATTATTTTTTATTACTATCGCAGTTATAAAATATATCTGTATTTTCGATTTATTGCCAGAATAAAGAACGTGAATAAAGGACTACCGACGAAGTGATGGATTTTCATTTCCGTTTGTCGCCCTTTTAAAACCGAGTTGTATTGCAAATGCGGTACATGAAATTGCAGATTCGCATGAAAATGTACACGCGCGTCTCGATTCGCCATATGTCGGAATCTCTGTTTTATCGCGGTGTTAACCTTGATTTATCTTTGTTGCAGGTGCAAGCCACCGATCCCGATTGCGGTGTAAACGCAATGGTCAATTATACCCTGGCCGGCAGTCGGCTGGAGAACGAACAACTCCTGGTGCGCAGTGATACGGGGGATATTTGCATCCGGTCGCCGCTGGACAGAGAAACAGTGCCTTATCTGGAACTGCCTGTCATTGCCACCGACAGAGGTTTGTGTCACTTTTCTTTTTATTGTCTATTTAATCATCGATTCTTAAAAAAAGGTTTCATGATACGTATCTAGCTTTAACGAAATAGCCAGTTTGATTACTATCATTGATCACTTCCGGTATTTTTATCTTTAGTACTTACAGTTTTTTTGTTAATTTATAATTGATAACATTAATAGTATCATCTTAGAATCGGTACATCAAAATATATTTTTTCCTTAAAAAGGAACGAAATATCCGCAGATACCGATCTCTTCGTTTGACATCAAGTATCGCAGTGTCGTGAATTCTTTTGCCTTCGGAACTTGTATCTAAACGCTTAACAACTTCGGCCATTGTAATTCGAGACGGTCACAACCGTTGCGATAATTCGGCTCGATCGCGAGATCTCTCACGCCATCGCGATCTCTCGTTCTCGACGACGTAGGAACAATGCCCTGCTCCGTTATTCGCGTGCAAGCCTCGTGTACGCGCACGGGCGTTGATAAGGGGTAGCGAGACAAGCAGAAACAAGTGGAAATGGCAACGCGCGCGGAGACACGCGCGTAGAAAACGGGCTCGCGGCGCTCAGAAAACGGGAAGAGAAACAAAGCGAAACGACGCGGCGCGGAGAGGAAGAAGCCGGGCTCGGCTATCGGCCCGTCGAGATCTAGTAGCTCTGTAATAGGGTGTATGATTTATGTCGACGGTAGGCTCCGTGGCCATTTTCAACGCGGCGGTTCGCGGTCGCCTTATGGGAAAGGACAACGACTGAAGGTCCATTGATCCATCGTGGGGCTACCGTGCGACCAACGGCCATTGCGCTTACCGGTGGCGCCGCGGGAAAGAGGGCGGAATAGCATCCGCCGAAGGGGAAAACGTTAGCCGGTGGTTAAGAAATAAAAAAAGCGGAAAAAGGGAGCATCGCTATTGTCGGCGTTTTGCAAACAGGGACGAATGCGTGCTTCACGTAATTGTCGCTCGTTATCGACACGATTGTTCGCCGTGCAAGCATCGGCGACACTACATATATCCAAAAGACAATAGAATCGGCCGGATATGACGGGCACAGGAGCGATCGCGAGTACTGTCGCAATGGATCGCGATAAACACCGCGTACCGTTTCGTCGCAGAACGGAAGTGACAGCTCGTGATAATAAATAACTCTCACCTCCTCGTGAAGTATATGTGTAACAATCGTGCGCACTCGGGCATATTTATATCACAGGCAAAGACTCCAGGCGCGCGGAAATGATTACAAATACCTTCCGGCGATTCGCACGTCCTCGCGCGTCTAGCGCTTCCTCATGGCGCCGCGCGGCCCGAGACTCATTAATCCTCCTCCTCCTCGCCTCTTTATTTTTACACCGGCGATTAATTCTTCTTATTGCCCGCCAGTAATTCGCGGCGGAGAAAATCATTTTGGCGCAACGGCAGTAAAGCGAATCGCGAGCCACCGTGAACCACGCGGGCCAGGTGCGCATGATTTATACCACCTGTTGACGGTATACACACCGCGGACGACAACGACGACGACGACGACGACGACAACGAGGAGTTGCCTGTCCGTTCTCTGCGTTGCGGTAGTTTCGCCGCTGTCAGAAGGTGCAAAGAGGCGCCGTATATCGTCGTCGATGTTTATCGGCGGGAAACGCGGACGATAACCAAACCACAGCGGGTTTTATCGCGCTAATAGCGGTGGCTAACGCCGTGCGCGTTCGCGGCGATAATTATTACCTGCGCGCTCGTGGATCGAGGCGGAGATCTGCGAGAGGCATCTGCTTATGTATACATACACTTTTCTCTCGTGCGAGTTATTTTGCCCAGACCGCGAAGGCGAGCGGATGCGGAATCGGTGCTAGATACGAAACACCGGCTCCTCGCGAGAGGCGAGATAATCACTTGGATCACTTGATGGATAATAAATTTAGAGCGATATTCTGTTAATTGTTGTTGCCGGCTAGATTAAAAGATTAAAGTTTTTCGATCTCTTTCGCCACGTGAAATCTGACGACGAGTGTCTACTATTTCAGTCGACTTAATCTTGTTGCTCATAAATTATAGAGGAAATAGATAACGCACACATTGTAAACTCGCAATATGTAATCAAACCCTGTTTTAAAAACGTCCTCTCAACGCATTTGCTATGCGATGTGATTACCCTGATATCATCCGGCACGTACATCCGAACTGGATTCTCCAGCACGGTCTTTAATCCAACGGAATCTTTACACTCGGCATCGATTTATACATGCGAGCGCGATATCTTAATGTAATTTCCACGTTAATCTCCCAGCGATATCTTCCGTGTAATTTGTGTCGGTCGGAATATTTCTCCAACCGATCGGACTTTATCTGCAATTTATTATCGCGTCGATGGAAAATTATCCAAGATACTGTCTTTTCCTCTTCTCGAAATCTCGATAACGCGTATCCGTCTCGTAGTTCTGCAGACGCAGACACAGAAACGTAAGGATGCACGCTTCCTAAGCTGGGAGGTGACTTTATTGGCACAGGCGTCATAAATCACTGGAAGGTTTAACTTCCACCGACTGTCATTGTCCGCGCCGTTCTTGCGCTTATTTATTTCACCCTTTCGACTCCCGCCGTGTTACTGCGCATAATCTCGGATGTGTCACTGGGCGCGAGCTTTCAGTTCGCACTTTGTAAGATATCCCGGAATTAACGTGTGCGCGTACGCTATATATTAATGGAACGTCTCACGTTTCGCCAGTAAGAGCGAAAAAAACGCATTATGATTTTACGCAAAGGTGTCTGACATCGTCCGACTCGGTGCGCGTGCATTTAAGGAAAAATCGCTTCTCGACCTCTCAAATTGTATGTGAAAAAAGAAATTGGAATTACTAAAAAAAAAAGAAATGATCCTAATTAAGTCCGCGGGATGCCGATATTTACGGTTGCGTTTCCGTAACGCGCGTCATGAAACTTATTCCTCGCGCGGCGTAATTTCGCAGTATAAGGTTGAGCACCGCCGCACCTTCTACCGGCCGCATAAATCTCTCGGAGGCCCCCTCGTATTCCCCGCCGCACGAATCCCGAAAAGAACTCATCCCGGCGATCGACCGCGTGAAATTAAAAGGGCCGGACTGCAGCGGGCACGAAAATATCAGGCAGCGCGCATTAAAATGCCGTTGAACTATCCCCAGGAAGTCGGTATCCGTTCGGTACCTGTGGATGCGTTCTCCGTCTTCCGTATCGAACGCGAGAACGCGTAATCAATTTTTTTGCCTCCTCAAGAAAGAAGAAGAAGAAAGGCCAAAAAAAAGTGTCATAAGTTTATTAGTCATAAGCGTTATTTGATCTGTGGGAAGCGCGTCTAACAATTAAGAATTGTCGTGTTGCGGGGGCACGCTTTTTCGATAAGCTTCATAAATGGGGGACCGTGTCCGCGATCTGCGGAGATCGGTGTTTATCGGTGCTTTTCAATGCCACGATGTGTTCCACGGGCGATCAGAGACCCCACATTCTCCCATGTATAACCGCGGAGAAGGGACGGCTCGGTGGTGGCATCACCGGACCCCGGGGATCGGGGGACCGGCTCTTGACGCATGACTCCAATGACACTCGCACCTATAAATCTCCCGGAGCTCGGAGAGAGAGAGCTCCGCGCGGCCGAGTCCATACATTATTGTGAGTTACGGTTGTAAACCGTTTAAACATCGGATTACCCGTTTTACATACTGTCTTTGATATTAACACTCGCGGAGCGTATCGCCTAAATCCGAGACGGCGAATCGGGAGCTCGTAGTATCCCCGTCGTGCCTGATTGCTCGCTATCGTAGAAACGCGTGCAGAGAGAGATAGAAATAGCGGGATAATCTCCGATTAATTTCAAACGGGAGACATATGATACGGTTTAGCGATATAGTTGCAGCGAGTCTCACTGACAAAGTGTAACATTGGCAAGCTTAATGCTTGAATTCCACATCGTGGGACAACTAAACTTGCAGTATCGAACGATCGCGTTTATCACTGTTCATATAGAAGGCTACATGCGGAATGTGCAAGGGCGCGCTGCGAAAGTACGCGGAAATCGCTTTTCCTGCAATGTTTATCGTTATCACGCGTAGCTCACAGGTCAATCGATGTATCAGCGGAGCAATTACCCCACGATGGCCCCCGATGCTCTTCTAAAAGAGCGCGATCATTTGGAGAGGGAGGGAGGGAGGGACTGTAAGCTTCTCACGTTTGAAATATTACTACGAGCGGCGCATTACCCCGCGCGCGGGGGTTAAAAGGAGCTCACGTCGACGCACACGTATATACTCACGTGTGTTCCGAATAAAACGAAGGGAGCGGGACGGGATACTGACCGAGGGGAAAGGATGCTGAAAGAAGAACGGAAAAAGAGCGAGACGAAACGAGAGAAAACCCTGCCGATGAACGGAGAGAGCGCGAGAGGCTCTCCGGCGGCTGATTGGGTCCGAGAAAAGGCCGCGGGAACGGGACGCGCTCGTGATTTATGCCGACCGGCTTCGGGCGCGTCCCCCGTAGATTCGTTCTCTACGCCGGCTAATACCCCGACATTATTTGGCTCGATAAGAGGATTTCGGCCGGGAATAAAATAAACATAATGCGCTCTTCTCGGCCACCTCGTACCTCTCGCCTCCGCGCGGGCATCGTGGACCACTCGCGGTCACTCGCAAGTATCCAAATTCAGCGTCGCTCGACCGCTTGATTGTGAAAATTAATTACAGAGTATAAATCAAATCGGTGCTATAAAATCGCCGCGAGATGCAAGATTCAACGTTATACTTTTTTGTTATTTTTTTTTAACGAGAAATTCAACGACTCTGTTGCTATGCTCAATATGTTACGTTTTCTCTAACTATTATAATTAATTTTATATCCGTAACGCATATATCTAATGATACATTGGATTCTGTTCGCAGGAGGACTAAGTACGACGGCGATTGTGCGCATCCAGGTAACGGACGTGAACGACAATCGACCGATTTTTAAGCCGCGGCGATACAACGTGACCCTGCGCAACGACGGCGCGATGCACAATCCGATTTTGAAGCTGATGGCGACCGATCTCGATGCCGGCATCTTCGGTCATATCGCCTATCGCATCAGCAGCGGCAACGAGGACGGGGTCTTTCATATCGATCGTAACACCGGCGAGCTGCACGTGGCGAGGCCGAATCTACTCTCGCGATTGTCGTTGTATCAAATCAACGTGACGGCGACTGATGCGGCCGGTCTGAAGAGCATCGTCGACGCCGAGGTCAAGATCACCGTCTCCACCGCGGAGCACAGAATCGCCACCTGCGAGAAACCGCGCTACGTTGTCTCGATCAAGGAGAGTATGCCGCAAAACACTGTTGTCGACGGCGTGAAGAACACGGCGACACCGTCATCCTCGTCGAATGGTGAGTAGATTCGCTTTTATGCTAAACTTTTTCCTTGGTCGACCGTTGTGTCTTACGACGCATCATCATTCATGTTACATCACGTTAAATACGTGCCAAGAATACAATGACTGATAATGAAGAATAGAGACTTTTTTTCGCAAATTTTATATTTATAAATGCAGCGATTTATATCTATATATATATTATCGTTATTTTGGTAATTTTCGAGCGCTATATTAATATAGCATAGCGTTGCACATCTTTTCATTGTCTTTCACTTGCGTCGTGTTTGCATGTGGAAAAATTAGGAGTTATTTTCGCGCGACGTCACGATACCGAGTCATTTGCGATGCTTGCGTAAGGGCACTTGCATGCCGGAGTTAATCTGGCGGGTCTTCTAGAACGGAGGTACGACCGGCGAATACCTCTCAGAAACGTATTCCACGCGCGGCGTTACCGCGTTAGCATAGTCGCGTCACGAGTAAAACGCCGAGGACTTCACAAACGCCTACGTGTGCATACGTGCACGTGGACCGTACGCTCAGGCACGAAGCGCGGCTCTAAAAGCCGAAGCGCATCACGAATGAAGATACTCCGCGTCTCCTCTTTATACGAGATCAAGCAAAGCAGTAGTAAGATGCACCACGTCGCGATATATTTTCGCACGCTATTTCGAGAGATATTCATATTTTACGTAGCGCCAAAAATACGAAGATAATATATAGGCTGAAAAAAAATCCCGCAAGATGAGATCTAATGAATTCCGTGGAAGACAGGCTAAGCGGGGAGAAAAAAGATTTTGAGTTTAAGCAAACAGGTGGCCGTCGAGGGGAGAGAAATGGGAATCGCGCAGCGGGAGGAGACTGAGATCGTGGACGACGATGAGATGAAGGAGGAGGAGGAGGGGAAGAAGGCGAAGGAGGATTGAGCACCGGTAAGGTCGCGGACGGGTGGGTGGATTGCACCGTGCCGATACACCGGGACACGGGGTGGAGAGGAGGGCGGCCGATCGAGGGGGGACAGAGAGAGAAAGAGAGGAGAAGTACGTATCCGTGTTTCCACACTGGTGGTACATCCGATGCAAGATACGGCGCGTCACGACCCGCGCTCGCCGCGCCGTATACGCCGATGCGCCGTGTAAACTGTCCCGCACGGTATCGAGCGGCACGGCGCGGTACGTTATACGCCCGAGAATGCCGAATAGTTTACACGATGGTGTCTTACCGGTGGTCGTATTGTTCGCCGCGTGGCCCCGTATATGCAGTCCGTTGCATATCAATGCGCGAGACTGTACCTCCCTCGCCGAGCGAAGTGGATCTCTCTCTCTCTCTCTCTCTCTCCCTTTTATTTTTTTCCTCTTTTTCTCATCTTCTATTCCCCTTCATCATTCTTTCTCTCCGGAGAAGCTTCTCGCTGCTTGTCTACGGTCTCGTCTTCTTCCGTCGTGCACAGCTACGACTTGAAACGAGGGAAGGAGAGAACGCGTAAGTTGCACTATCTGGGGTTAAAAAGCATCTTGACCCTATGCGACGCGCGGTTTTCACGTTTCGTAATAGATCTCCCAGTGTCTTGGTTGCCTAACTCTCTCTTAGGTCTCTCTTGTAGGAACGTTTAATCGGCCAGACGCACTTCTCGGATTCCTCATACTTATTCCACGGCTTTTTACACGTAGATAAATCGTAATTGTGACGTGATCGCTAGGATGAACGAACTCTGAGCCACATGAGATGTAATTCTAACATATTCTTCAATTCAGAATTATCTTTCTTCATTATCGTAATTTTAATTTTAGAAAGTCAGATGTAGCCTACTTTCGACAGGACATTCTTATACATTCTTCAGTTCCGCGCGATGTCGATTAAAAAATCTGTACTCTTTAAGACTCGAGTATATAAAATGTAAAACATACAATGAAATGCGCGCGCGAGATACCTTATACATGACACGAAACAACGAGCACCGTCTCAGACATCGCGCATTCAAAGTTGTTCTTCCGGCATCGGCGCGATCGGTCGGTCGGTCGGTCGACTTCAGAAACCCGACTTCCAATCGGCCACGCGTCCGGCCGCCGTAGAACCAGTTCGCGCAGAAGAACGCGGCCTGACACTCAGGCCCGCAATATTTGACACACGGCAGCCAATCAGATTATCAGATTAAAGTTGAACGGGCCGGCGATCGTCGGCACAGGTGCGGTTCGTTTCGGCTGTATCCGAAGAGAGAGAGAAAGAGGAATCTCGCGGGCACGCATTGACGTGCACCGGCGATCCGCGCTACCATTTTGCGACACCTGTTCCACTAAGCCGAACCGGATCCGGACGAAGTAAGGCGAAACGCCAAACTCCGCTTTGAGTTTAGATTTTGATTAGATCAATTCTTGTTGACCGATCGGATTTTAGCGATACAGCAAACAAAAAGCGATGGTGAGATTTTTGCATTACAATAAGTGTTTTAGTAATTAGTATTATCATAGATATTATCATTGTGCCGATGTCTACATGTGAATTATATTTGAACTATTGATCGATATATTAATTTATTGATAAATGTAAATTAAAAAAAAAATACAGTCTCTAAAAAATACACTTAACGAAAGAATTATCATCCGATCAAATTTTTATTCTGAAAATGTCCGACTTGCAAATGAATTCGTTACCCATTAAGCGAATTAATTTTTCAAGTGATCAATTCATTTAATTCGGCGCGACACGACACTTGCCGAGGGATGTCCAATCAGATTAGCAGATCGAGTCGAACGTTGACGTAAAGCGAGTATCCAGAGACAGAGACCGGCTACCACTTTACGATCACCTGTTCCGGTAAAGCAGAATTCGCGCAAACCTGCGTTCCTAGCGAATTGCGAAAAAAACACGATCGTTAAAAAGGGGGTGACGGCCGACAAAAGAGCGATCGTTTCGTCGATGCTTCGGAACTTAAAAACCAGACATAGACGAACTCCTTATTGGGAAGCAGTTGTTCGTTTCGCGGATGGCCGGCTGTCCCGATCCTTCCATAAAACCTGGCGACAAAGTGAGGAACGCGCTTCATTTTACGGTCGAGTTTATGGCACCTGGGCGGAGGGGGGGGGGGCAAAGGGGAGAATCAACGCGTCGTGATCGCGTCGAGCTGTGGAGAAGACCGGTCTTATCTTATCCGCGGAACGAGCGGCCGCTCCCAGCCTTGTAGCCGAAGACCGATCCTCTGCTGAGGAAAGAGGAGGGTATTTAGAAATCGTGATGACGTGCAGGATTCGAAGGTTGCAAAGTTGGAAACGGACTCGAGACAACGAAATTGGCGGCGGTCGAGCGAAATTACCGTTTGCCGGAGACGTTTTATGCACTTCGTCGTTTTGCTAGGAATCTCGCGGTACACACAAAAGGGTGACGACGCGAGAATGATAGAACGGCGATTGACACGTAGGTCGCCGATAGAAAGTACGGAACTAGTGACATTGAGACGGGTCACGGTTGAGAAATCGACGCGCGCGCCGAGCCGGTCAATCGGTTACGTACACCGAGGCAGTTTGCTCTCCTCCTCGCTGGCTTCCCGCGAAAGCCCGGCGCGAAACAAGACGGCCGTTGTTGAACACCAGTTTTGCAACACGCGGAAGAGGCGATAACGACGGTAACAAGCGTCTTCGTTAGAAGGCCAAGGCGCAATCGGCAACCACTCATCAGAAAGTCACACCGTTCTCCGTCTCCTTTTCTTTCTCGCGAATTTCCTTGCCACGCTCGATTATGCACCTTATTGGTGAACGAAAAAAGTCTCGGGAAGTAATGTCAAGCGCGTTATGTGCACGTGTTCGCATAGTTAGTGTCACAGTTAGAGCGTAACGAGATAATATCTTTTGTTAGTCGATTATTATGCATATTGCATATTGCTATTAGTTCGCTCGTATATTCATCGTGAGTTTTCCACTTCTTGAAGTGGTATATCTTAATTCAGCGCGCCGATAATCAGAGTGAGTAGCGCAGAGTGAATTTCGAGATAATCTCACCTCGGCACTCGTGAATCGAGTATCTCGTACTTTTCGGGACCTGGCATTCTCCTGGCAGTCGAAAGAATGCGCGCTTCTCGAGTGCCGGTCGGGGAAGACGCGGGCCGTGAGCGGAGAAGATCGCAACGAGCAGGGCGAAAGAGAAGGATGTGAAAGGAGGAAGAGTTGGAGGAGGTGGAGGTGGAGGAGGAGGTGGTGGACCGTCGTCGTCGCCGAGGTCGCATAAATCGTCGTGAGTCGGATTCCGGGCAGCCGAACGCAAGCCGCCATTGTCCGAGACTTTTTGCCCCTCTTTCCCGACCGAGAGGGGGCTGCCGCTACGGAGCTGCACTCTTTGCATATGCTTTAAATATCGCCGCTCCGCGCGCTCGCTTTGAGGGCTCCCAGCACCACTCACCTCTCCTTGCCTCTCTTGTGCGCGAAGAAAAGACGGCGTGCGCGGTCTGAGGGGGAGCGGGGGGGGGAGGGTGAGAGTAGGAGGAATGAAAGATGAGGAACGTCGAGAGAGGAACCCGAAGTTCGCTGACTGTCGACTCCTCTTGCCGCAATTGGAGGATTGCATTAGATGCATCGCGGCGTCTGCGATTTGTATCCCACGCCGCTTCGAGAGCGTCAGCGTGATCTCGTGTATCGAGGAGACACACAAAATAAATAGTTTCTTGAATTTACGACGGGATGTAACTAAGCCGCCCCTTATCAGTCCTGTAGCATCGTGCCACATATGCGAATTTAACTGTCCGAATTTCCTCTAGATAATGATGCAAAAAGTAAATGAAAAGGGTTGAGGGACGAGAGAATCGACATTTTGGAAACTACCTCAACCCTATAATCTTATCCGCGCGACACATCGTCCGTCTTTTAACGAATTTAACGATGACACCATAAAGATCAACGTCGCGCTGTGGCAAGTCGTTTAAGACTGGCCATAAAGATACATCCGGATATAACGCGTGAAACGATCTGGCTGTTACGTCCTGAAATAGGTTATAATCCGCCGCTCTCGTCGATGATCAAATCGAAAGAA